CACAGCAGCCGGGGCTCCGCGAAGTTCAGCGCATCTCACCCTGCAGCTTTAGGTTTCTCTGCCGCAGCTTGAGGTTGCGCTTCTCGATCTTCTTGCGCAGGAGTTTCATCGGCAGGTGAGACATGTTGACGAAATGCCTTAAGAGCCGCGCCACGGCCGACTTCTCAACTCTGCCGGGGACCGTACTTCCGCTTCGGCCGCACGTGAGCGGCTCGGCCAACGGGAAATACGTCACAGGAAACGCCGGCGGCCTGCGCACCGAGAATGCGTCCCGGGTGAAAATGCTTCCGGGCGCGTGGGCCGTGCTATCCTTGGCGACCGGGTTCTGTGCAGCGCCCCCTGGTGGGTTGGAGGCCCGCGCCCGCGCCTGGCTCGCTTGTGCCAGAGCTGGGCGTCTGTGAAGAGTTCGAGTAACCCCAGAGGAGGGCCTTAGGGTCTCGGCTTTATGCCCTTGGCCTTTGTGGGCCAGGGACAATTTGGGAAATGGAATAAAACCTAAGTTTCATACATATATACACACACACACACACACACAAACATACGCACACATAAACATATATATATATATATACACACACATATATATATAGTTCCCAAACTTGTTTGTCCAAACTCCTTAGTAAGCAATATACTTTCCATCGCACTTGGTACACAACGTCACATAAATATAGCATTTCTCATAGCAACACCCTTTCTCTTGTGTTTCACTCGTATTCTTCTTTCCATTCCATTAATCCCACCATAAATTATTCTATTCTGAACCATTAAAAATCCACATTGCTATGCCTTATTTCACTGCAGTATTAATGGGTTGGCTGCAGTTTTGCAAACGGTTTATAAATCCCCAAAGCTCACCTCTGGACACTCTAGGAGTGCAGAACGGAAATTGCAGTTGGGCTAGCTAGTAGGCCTCTTATTTTATTCACCCACTTGTGTGGGCAGGTGGGGGGAGAAGGGTGTATAGAGTGTTTAATTTAAAAAAAAGTTACCATAGTTAAAAAATTGGGATAGTTCATATAGAAGTTGGTATTTTCCTTTAAAAATTTGCTCCAGTCCCCCTTGGCAGTAACCAATTTGGGCTGAACAAGGAGAGGGAGCCATGAAACCTCAATTCATTTTTTTACTTGGAGAGGCAGAGCAAGAGCTGATGGGGATTAGACAGGATCACAGGGAAGAAGGGAGGGGGAGAAACTTGGGGGCAGTTTAAGCAGAATATGAATGAACTGACTGAGAAATCACATTGAATTAGGCTGGAAAACCAAGGGAAACAAATCATGATGTGNACAAACAAACAAATCATGATGTGCCTGGACTGCTGATGGTTCGGCAGGCTGAAAGANGGAAACAAATCATGATGTGCCTGGACTGCTGATGGTTCGGCAGGCTGAAAGACGAGTCACAAAGGTAAACTGCCCATCCCCCCATAGCTGCGCATACACACACACATATATCTCAGTTTAAATAGCTTGCAGTTTAAATAAATGTGTATAATTACACATTGTATTGTTTATATTTTAGATATTTTGTATATCACGATATTTTGTAAAAAAGACCAAAAACATTTCTACCAAGGACTAGCCCATTCTTAGAGATAGGCAGACTCAGCCAGGAACATGCCTTTGATATGCAAGTTAATCAATTGCTGGAGGTGGTGTTTAAGAGGACTTGACCTACCTGTTGACCCTGGAGCTGGGCCCAGGCAATTTGAGGCTCCTCAGCCCCTCCACTGCCCTTGGGATATGTGATCTGTCCAACATTTCCACCGTGGGAGGCATTTTCAAGGACGAAGCCTTGAGGGAGCAATGTGATNGAAGGTAAACTGCCCATCCTCCCATAGCTGCGTGTGTGTGTGTGTGTGTGTGTGTGTGTGTGTGTGTGTGTGTANAAAGGTAAACTGCCCATCCCCCCATAGCTGCGCATACACACACACATATATCTCAGTTTAAATAGCTTGCAGTTTAAATAAATGTGTATAATTACACATTNTTAGGTTTTAGTCCATTTCCCAAATTGTCCCTGGTCCACAAAGGCCAAGGGCATCTCTCAGTTTAAATAGCTTGCAGTTTAAATAAATGTGTATAATTACACATTGTATTGTTTATATTTTAGATATTTTGTATATCACGATATTTTGTAAAAAAGACCAAAAACATTTCTACCAAGGACTAGCCCATTCTTAAGAGATAGGCAGACTCAGCCAGGAACATGCCTTTGATATGCAAGTTAATCAATTGCTGGAGGTGGTGTTTAAGAGGACTTGACCTACCTGTTGACCCTGGAGCTGGGCCCAGGCAATTTGAGGCTCCTCAGCCCCTCCACTGCCCTTGGGATATGTGATCTGTCCAACATTTCCACCGTGGGAGGCATTTTCAAGGACGAAGCCTTGAGGGAGCAATGTGTTGTGAGACCCTCTGGGTGGTGTAAGTGACTGAACCCCATTGAGGCCTCTATATAAACTTCTAAGATTCTGGTGGGTGGGTGCAGAGATCTACTCACTTTTCTACCACCTCAGGCAAGTCCTGTAAATCAGTTCCCTGACTTAGTAAACCTGCCACCTGCCAGTCTGGAGTGTTCTGCCTCTTTCTTCAGGCTCTCCTTGCTCTTTGTATTTGGGTCAGTTTCAGGTTTTACCCTGGGAACCTCCCAGGTTTTGAACCTATGCCAATCCGGGGCCATATTCTCTCTTTCTAGCCTGTGCACCCCAGGAGGCAATATTCCTCTTCCTTAATCATTCCAGGGCCA